AGCACGCATGAAATCGGAATAGCATTGCACTGGTGTTCTACCTTTGAGAACAGGGAGTGTATCAGCGCCAAGTGATATATACTCATGATTTCTTCTTCCCCACTGATCAGTGTATGCAAGTTCTGGATCCTTGTCAACCTCTTCCACAACCCACTGAGGCAGGGGAATACTGGCGAAGAAAATAAAAGTTCCCACTCAGAACATACCAAATCTCATTAATAAAATGATAAGACACGACTTCAACCATATAAAAAATACATGAACTACTAACTCTTTACCAAAGACAAGAAAATCATTCATTTGTTTGATTGTTCAACTGGTTTATCTAAATCAATCCTTTGTAATCAAATATTGAAAGAGACATAAGACAAATAAGAAGAGAACACAAAAAGGCCTAAAAACAAGGGAGAAAACGACGAACAAGTCACTCAATCTGTTGAAAAGAGACGCTCACGTTCACGTAACAAACAAAGAAGATGTGTGGCTCATATAGATTCTTGAACCTATCACTCTCCTCTAGAACATTGTGTCGTCACGTGTCAACGCAACTCCCGTGCACGTTACTCCCCGTTAATCAATGAAAACTTTTGACAATTTCGCCTAATAAACTATTCCCAATTGATCATTTCAATTCCAAAAAACAAACTCCAAGTTCATATTGAGACTCTTCCTAAGTAATCAAAAGACAAAAAAATCCTGAACCTTGACTAATCAAGAGACTCTTCCTAATCTAAACTAAACATCCAAGTGCACAGAAAGCTAAAGATTCAATCTTGAGTACTTACGTTACAGAGTCACCAACGTTACCACCACACTGATGAAACGACATCACAGCCTGAACCTTAAGTCCAACCTTCTTGGCCATCTCAAGCAACTCATTATAACCTCCCCAGTTATAAGCCCCAGGAGCCTCCCTCTCCACCAAACCCCACCACACATCTATCATGATCCCTTCCACACCGGCACTCTTCAACGCCTGCAGACTCGCTCTCATCGCCTTCCTCCGATTCACCGTGTTCCCCATCGTCACACTATCAAGCGGCATCATCACGAACACAGGAACTCCTCCCTTCCCTCTCTCTCCTCCCATCCCTCCTTCCTTGTACGTCCTCTGCTCCTCCATAGTCTCCACCGCGAAAGCTTTACACGCCACGGACAGATCCGTCCGCCTCGCTCCCAGCACCGGACTCATCGGCGGAGATACGTTTATGCTCGGATTGTAATTCACATTCATCGATATAGGCATCCTCGCCGACGGTGGTGAAACCGATAGCGACGACTCTACCGATGGTGCTGTCATTTCGCCGGACTTGATCGGAGTTCCGGCCAGAGCTCCGAGCTGATGCGTTAGATTAAACGCCATTTTTCTCGAGAAAATTAAAACCAAATGAGATTTGATCGTTACGATAACAGATTGGTTCTCTCTATTTGAAACAGAAGCTTTGAGTTTTTAATGTGACGGAGGAGATCTGGAGATGCAAGAGAGGGCAGATATTTATAGGGGACCGTTAACAGATAAGATTAAAATAATACATTTGATGAAGTCGGTTCTTTCTCGACACGTGTTGAAACGTACGATGTGGATAAAGACACGATTTTAGATTAGAGTCAGAATGGACGGTGATGTGAACTGTGCGCGTGAACAGCTGACGCGCTTATAACCTCAGAAAACATTTGTGGTGTATAGATCCTCTTTATATTAGGACCATGATAAATATTTTATTACTTGATTTTTTCTTTCCTCTTTTAAAAATACAACAAGTTCATAACTTTTTGTTTCTTACACGGTTTATACCGCCATACCGGTGAGGTTTGCCTTTTTTTTCTTGAAAGAAAACGGGGATAGTGATGCTTACTTGCTTATATATAACGTTTTCTTTCATGAAACGTACGTTTCAAATTGAATACTTTGCAATTTGCACAGCCCTTAATTTATTTTCGCTTGTAATGGTATAAACTGAAGTGGTGCTTTCGCGTGAAATAGTATTTTATTATGCATCATGCAACTTTGAGCAACAAGTAAGATAGCATGATATGATACTTCAGTTGTAAGAAATATCATTCATTTGCATGAAGTAGAGTGCTACGTATTTAATATAATTTGTCAAATTTTTTTGATTTACTATTTCATATTAGATCTTACAAGAACTAAGGAAATATATGGAGTATTTGATCTAGATCGACAATCCATTAGCTTATTAATCTAGTTAGCACAATTTTGGGTTTAAGGATTAGGAAATAATGTGAATAAATACACGCAACTTAAAAACAGGTTTGATCTTACTTCATACGTCAGTTCAAACGTGTTCTATATCAGATTACATCCATCCGTTAATACAGTACCAGCGTTGAGGGGAAACTATGAAAACATGTGTTTCTAACTTTTGTAATAATAAATAAAATTTTGGACGTTTGACCAAATTTCTAATAGCTAAAGAGGCAAATGAGTGACAAAAATTGAGAGGTCAAGGGTTAGCCTCCCTCAAATCCTTTTCACCACTCTTTATTATTCCTTCCATTTTGTTTTGGAAAAATTGTCATTTAAATCACCAACTTTCAAATTTGGTTGAAATAAAGCACCACTTTTCTTATAAGCAAAAAAAAAACACTCAATTTTTGTTGACAAGCCATTTTAGTCACAAACTTTCGTCAACCATACCAATTTAGTCATATCGTCAGTCAACAGTTATAGTTGACTAACGGTATGCCTAAAATGGATTTTAAAGTTGGTGTTTTTTTTGGCACAAATATAAATCAACAACTTTTCAAAATATTAGCTTTTAAATTTTGAAAGTTTTAATAACTATAACACTAATAAATAAAATTGTAAATAAAAAATAAATTCCATTCAAAAATATAAACATAACTCAATGTAAAATTATTAATTAACATATCCTTAATTGGGTATTTTAGTTAAAAAATGATTATGATTTTTGAATTATTTACGATTAATTTTTAAAAACTATTTGTATAATCGTACATGTATTATGTTTTATAATTTTACTGTCAAAAATTTGTTAGTAAAATATTACTTCAATTCTTGATTTTTTAAACAAAATGAGTTATCGGATAACAAAAAAAGTTATCTATTTTGGTGAAACTTATTATTTTTTTTTAATGCAGAAAGCTTCTTGTAAAATTTTTATAGAAATATATAGATTTGTTTGAAGATCTTTATTATAAACTTAAAGAATCATGAATAATTCGTTAATCGATAATTTTTTATTTAAGAAACAAGAGTTGAATTAATATTTCATCAACAAAACTTTTGAAAATAAAATTATAAAACATAATTCAAATAGGATTATATAAATATTTAAAAACATTAAACGTAAATAATTAAAATATTCTTATCATTTTATAACTAAGATACTCAATTAATTTATGTTAACTAATTATTTTACATTGAGTTTTATTTATATTTTTTCTTGGATTTCTTATTTATAGTTTTATTAATTAGTGCTTCAGCTATAAAAATATTTTCAATATTTAAAATATATCCAATATTGTAAAAAAAAATATTGATTTATATTTGTGCCAAAAAAAACATCAACTTTGAAAGCCATTTTACGCCTACCGTTAGTCAATTATAACTGTTGACTAACGATATGCCTAAATTGGTATAGTCTATGAAAATTTGTGATTAAAATGGCTTGTCGATAAAAGTTGAGTGTTTTTTTGGCTTATGAGAAAATTAGTGCTTTATTTCAACCAAATTTGAAAGTTGGTGACTTAAATGACAATTTTCCCATTTTGTTTTATAAGTCGTTTTAAAACTTTAGTTTTGTATTCAGTGCAACATATGATATGACTTTTAATTTTATCTACCCTCATATCATTACTAGAATAAAAGTCAGATATAGAGGATGCCATGTCACCCTAAATAATCAACGAAACAGACTTAGTTTGTTATTTGTTCGTTTGAATGTTTTTATAGCCGGTCCATTTGGCCTAAATCTGAGTCTGCTGCTTAACCCTAATTTGCCGTCACTCGTCTGTGATCCTTCTTTGTTCTTCATCGGCGTTTCGATTCCACAACGGAAATCGCTTCATCGACAACACACTATCAATCCATCCCTTTGCCATGAGACCCTCTTTATTGGCTTCGTCATCGCCTTCCTGATCATCTCTTCCATGGAGATGATGGTATCAGAGTTATTTGTTTGACTCTTTACGAGTTTCGTATTGGGAACGAAGAGCTTCCTCATGTATATGCGTAGAGACTTGGTGAGTCTGATTATCTCATTTCCAAGTTTTGCCGTACCAAAAATCATAGTGCTGGTAAGATTTCTTTCAATTTTTGTAAAGCTTTTAGGTTTCATATTCTTGCTTGCTTCATTATTTAACAAAAGAGAATGTTTTTTTGCAGTTCAAATCATCTGCAAGTTTAAAGTCTTAAACGTTTATTTGTGCAGTTGATTGATATCACTTTTACGTAGGTGGGAAACTGTGAAGCCTTCGAGTGTCTCAGCTTCCAGTCAGAAGCAATCTCAAGCTGAAGCTCAAGGTCATCATTATAGTTCTTTTTCGTTATGGCTTTTGGTTCTTTAATTAATGCCCATGTTAAGAGTTCCTAGAAATTTTAAAAGCGTTTCATGAGGTTTGTTTGTCAATTTGACTAGAACATTCAACATTGTATATATAACTTAGACTTTGATACAATGTGTCGACCTACTGTACGCATGATTTGGCTATTCAAATCTGTGTTGCTTTGTACAAAGCGCTACGTTGAAGGATATGCAAGAGAGAACGGCGAGATTGAGAGGAGAATCATGAGACATTTCGAGCTTTCTCCACACTTATTTCAATAGTCGAGATGTTACACCCATCCCAAGCCACATCACATCATAGACTCTTCCAACCTTTGATACTCTATGTTTCACAGTTTTTCCATGGTAAAAAGGAGAACCCAATTTTTTAGCTTTAAAAGGCTGCAGCATTTGGTTCAGGAGGAGGTGAAATATTAGCTGAGTATTACACTTATATAATGATTTTTCTTAATGAGCAGTGAGATAGATCAGTTATACAAGATTTGTTGTGTTCTTGGCAAACCAGACTGGACCACGTTTCCTGAAGCAAAAAGCATATCTCGGATCATGAGTATTAGTCACACAGAGGTAACAAATCTTAATTGAGGGGCTTATTTAAAAACACAAAGATATCAAATTTGATCTTTGAATTTTTTTTTTTTTTTGTGAACAGTTTCCACATACAAGGATTGCTGATCTACTCCCTAATGCTTCTCCTGAAGCTATTGATTTGATCACTGTGAGTCCTTATGAATATTTCTTACTGTTATTTTAGAAAATACCTTGGTTTCTTATATGATATGTATAACTTTTGATATCTACAGAGACTTTGCTCATGGGATCCATTGAAACGACCAACTGCTGATCAGGCGCTAAACCATCATTTCTTTAATGTAATTTGACTTATACTCTTACTTCTTTTGAATCTGTTTCACACACACTCTCTGTATTGATAATATAAGAACCCAACAGATGGCTACGCAGGCTTCTTGTCCTCTACATGATCTTGAGTTGAGGCTTAACACCATGGGTGAGCATTTTTTATTTGTTTATGCTTTCCTAACCTTAGATTAAGTTCAATTTAAATTTATTGTATTCAGCAGCAGAGATGCCTAATCTTGAGCTAAACCTCTAGGACTACGACAGAAAACAAGACGGGTGTTTTCTGGGCTTGACGCTGGCTGTAAAACCAAGTGCTCCTAAACTGGGTAAGCATCATTCCCTTGTGTAGAGTACATGCATGTCATATGATTACACACATTAAGAGTGCAACAAAAAAGTTTGCAGAATTGGTCTGCAATGCATTTCAGGACATGACTGATGTAAACTTTTAGACCCCATGAAGCTGTGATGAACTTCTCATTGAGCTGTTGTAATCAAATCTCTTTTGGTTTACAATGCAGAATTTTCTCTTTTTCCCCATGGTTAACAATGATCGTGAACCATCAGGTGAGTCTATGATTAAAACTTAAGCTCATGTGTTAGTTATGTTTCTCTCTATTGAACAGTTTTTTTTTAAAACATTTACAGTTTTCTGGTCTCTGCTCTCTCCTGATGAAAACCGCGTCCATGCACCTGTTGAATCATCATGTGCTTTATCTCTGTCCTTCAGGTGAGAATATTCCATGTTTTCTTATAATGAATCCATTACTGTGTTAACATAAATTTTTTTGCTGTTGTGAGCAGTCCAATGCAGCAACACACAAGCGTGGGACCTCCACCACATTCAACAACAGGGTTCACCATGGGATCATCAATGCAACCGAACATGTTGGACCGTCCATGGATGGCTTTGTCTGTGCCCTTTCAACAGTCTCACTACCTCTGATCTTCTTACTTAAATCCATAATACCTACTAAAAAAAGTAAATATCACAGAGGTTTGTCAGTTAAAAAAAGATATAGAAGACAAAAAAAAACAGAGATTGTAGGTTTTAGTTGGATAACTTTATGATATATTAACCAGACATGTTATTTTGAATATATAGTATTTTATTTTCTTATCATTTGTGTATACTGGATTTTATTTATTTCTCCAAATTCAGTCATAGTATTTTTTTTTGTTCTAAATAAATTAAGCTATTGCTTGATTTTTTGTTTGCATTTTGTTTGTAAATATTTTACTACAATTGAGTATAACTTGATATATAATCTTTTTAGAATCAAATAAAAAAATTAAAGTATTGATTGATTCAAAATTATGAATGATTCTATTTTAAAACACATTTTATTATTTCTATCAAAATACATTTATAGTAAAAATAGTATTTTTAGTTCCCCTTTCTAAATACACTACAAGAAAACAGGTGTTTAACGACTACACTATTGGTTGTTAATTGGTCGTAATATGCCTTTTACGACCAATTAACATCAAAAACCCATTGGTCGTTATTCGCTAGTCGTAATGCATAATTAGTCGTAACGTAGTCGTAATATTACGACCACGAGCTGTAGTCGTAACCTAGTCGTAATATTACGACTAATATATTGGTCATAACATTGAGGTGACAAACTTAGTCGTAACGTAGTCGTAATATAATTGGTAGTTAATTAGTCGTAATATAATTGGTAGTTAATTAGTCGTAATAAAATTAGTCGTAAAGCAAACGTAAACATTAGTAGTTAATTAGTCGTAATTTTACAACTAAGTAAAATCGACGCTTGTTGTGCATTGGTAGTAAATTAAGACTAATTTACGACCAATGTTGATTTTTTTTTTATAAAAAACGATTTTTTTTTTTAATTTGATTTTTTTTTTAATTTTTGGTTTTTAATTCGATTTTCTTTAAAAAATTAATAAATTTTAATATATATATATATATAATTATATTTGATTAATATAATATATAAAGTATGCATACAAAAAACCGAAAAAACTAAGGTGTTTTGTTGAGGTTCATGTCCTGGAAAAACTCGGAAGTGTGCTACTCCGCACGTCGCTCTAAATCCATTTCGCTCTAAATCCATTTGCTCTTCCGGAGTGGGGTCAGGGTTAAAGCTCGGACGTGGAGCTTGCCATGAATTTGCAACCGTCGGGTTTGGGTTCGAGTTCTCCATCATAAGATTGAACATATTCGCCATAGCCTTGAACTTGTCTTTATGCTCGTCTATGACTCTGTTGGTAGCTGCTAGTTCCCGTCGGAGAGAGGAATCTTCTTCTATGTTTTCTGCATGTTCGGCCCTCGCCCTCGAGACATCGTTCACAGTCCCGATCCAAACAATACGTCCCCTTTTCTTCGGAACAACCTACAAAAGATCAAATTTTATCTACTAATTATATTTATATAATTAAGTAAAAATGTGAAAATTTAATAAAAAATTAAAAATGTTAATAAAGTTAAAAATTAAAATAATTTACTTGCTCAAAATTTTTGTCTTGGTCGATGGTGGAAAGCTGGACTAACCCAGCTTTGACCTCCTCGTTGACACCAAGCGACCAATTCCATTTTTGCTATAAAAATTTATGAATAAAAACATTAGTTATAATTTAACATACTATGAATTAATTAAAAAAATGGAAAAACAAATTAATTACCGCGAAACACTTGAACCACGTAATGTGAACGTGGTCCGGTGTAAGAGTCCAGTTAGGATGGGCATGCCGAAAATTTGCCCGAATGATATCCCCAACGCTCTGTCCTAAAACATTATCCGTCAAAAACCTACAAAATTTGAAAGAATTTATATATTTATATCAATATTTATGATTCAATAAATTTTTAAACTTTAAACTGTAACTAAATAATTTAGAATAATTACCAAAACGTGCCGGTGCGTCGATCCGGATCGACGATTCGTAAACCTTCTCATCCCGGCATCCGGAGAATATCTTCCACCGTATATCTCGCATATGGTGCATTCGCCGGCACCATCAAATCTGGATGAAGACCGGGTGCAACAGTCAGATTAGGTGCGTGATGCGTGGCCGCGACATGTGGGGGAGGCGGAGGGGGAGGCGGAGGGACATACTGCGGATCCGGCACATAAGTAAAGAAATCCGTATCGTCATGCGGATGATACAGAGGCTGATCCTGATGATCATTAGGGTTGTAGACCGGTGGAGGCACATACGACAGATGAGTACTGGCCGGTTGGGTCGTCTCTGGGACCGTGTCATGGCCGGATGACGTGGCGGCGGATGATGTGCCGGCCGAGGTAGAAATAGCGGGGTCGTTTGATGATTCACCGAGAAAAGTACTCGCGTAGGAGTTTCTAGCCGCGAGGTTCCGAATTCTCTTTCTATCAGACATAGCAATATCTATATATCTGAAATTTATAAAAAAATATTGAGCGATTAAATTAAACAATTCAAGTATATCTAATTCCAATCCTTAACAAATTCTAAACCTAATCTAATTACCTAACTAACCACCTAAAACAAAAAAAAAACTCACCAAGAGAGAAGTTGATTCGCTGTTAGAGAGAAGGGAATGAACAACTGAATTGCTTCCGCGAGGTCCCTATATATATACAGTTTGGTCTTGGTCGTACATTAGTCGTAATTTTACGACTCAGTTACGACTAATAGTCATAACCTAGTCGTATTATTACGACCAAGTTACGACCAATTCGTATTACGACTACAATACGACTACAATACGACTACATATTATGACTAAGGTGTGTCCATCTAAAGATTACAACCAATTAGGGTCGAACCATTACGACTAGATTACAGTTATTAGTAGTAACCTAGTCGTAACCTTACTACTATGTTACAACTGTTAGTCGTAATGTAGTCGTTTAACAAAATTCAAAACCCAAACCCCAAACCCCAAACCCCAAACACCAAACCCCCAACCATAAACCTCCAAACCCCAAACCCCAAACAATAACTATCAAATCCTGAAACTCCAAAATAATTTCATAATGCAAACATAATTAAGATATCGGAATATTATGCGGATCATAATTTCATAATGCAAACATAATGTATTTCATAACGGAATCAAATACAACTGACTTTAGAGTACATAATCAACAACTTTCATAAATTGGCTCATTTGCTGCTGCTACATTTTCTACCTCCTCTATAATAGATGTTGTTTCACGAAATTCATATGTGACCATATCATGCATCCTATCATGATCTACCATGTGATGATCCTCTTGAAGGTAACTTTCAGAAAGCAAATGTGGTTCCTCTCTGTTATGAACTATTTCAACCTGATTACTACTACTAGCTTCATTCCTATTATCACCTTCTCCGTCGTTATACCAGATATAGTAATGTGGAGTAAATCCTCTATTTACTATGTTTCCAAACCGTTTCACTAGCAGCAAACTTCGTATTGTTGCATTTACGACAAGGACAAAACATTTTACCCGTTTCCTGTGTGAGAGAAGTTTGTCTGGCCTGGTTCATGAACATCTCTGCTCCGTTGAGAAATTCGTCAGTTACTCTTCCCCTTGAATCTTTATGTGCATACATCCAACGCCGAATCTCATAAATATTTCTAGACATTTTTTTTTAAAGTTTACTGTTTTTTTCTTCCGTTTTAAGAATGAGGGAGAAGATCATATTTATAGAGAAATTTTGATTTTGGTAGGTAGTTAAGTTAGTAGTTAAACATATGCAAAATAGATGCAAAACTATTAGTTGTAAGGCAGTCGCAATGTTACAACCAATTTACAACTACTGCAGAAGCTGATTAGTCGTTAATTGGTGGTTAACATATTTAGATGTACATTAGTCGTAATATTACAACCAATGAGTGACTAATTGCATTTACGACCAATTTGGGACTACTTTTTTAATATTTGAAAAAGAGAAGAAAGATACTCGAATCACAACTCCGTAGATTCTAAGCGAAACCAACGTTTCAATGTACGTTCCGCATTGATCTTTTCGGGGTTGTGATCCGAGTAGCTTTTTTCTCTCTTCTTCTCAGATTTTTTCAATCTTTAGACTCAATTATCAACTTTCTTTTTCAAATATTTCAAAATATTTGTTTGGTTTTTGGAGAAAACGATGGCTCTTTTTATAGGAGATGTTACGACTAATTAACTTCGAAAGGTTACGACCAATGAGCATCTATGTACATCCTTTAGTCGTAATCTAGTCGTAGATTACGACCAATTAACATTGACTTGCCTTTAAACCCCAAATCGAAATCTCAAAACTAGTGGTCGTACATTGGTCGTAATTGAACGACCAATGTACGTCTATGCGAACATGTAGTCGTACATTGGTCATTTTGTTACGACTAATGTACAACTAGAAGAATTTGTAGCAAATTAACCTCTACTTTACGACTAATTCCCTTATAGACGTAACTTAGTCGTAAATGAGATGGTAAATTACGACTACATATATGTAGTCGTAATATGCAGTCCAACGTTTTCTTGTAGTGATATGTCTTCTTTCTTAAAGTCAATTTCATAATAAATATTATTTAATATTTAAAATAGTTATTTTGTGAATGATTTTTGTAAAAACCATGTTATATAAGTAGTATATTAAGCTATTCTAAATATTTTTATTTACATAGTTGGATAAAAGTTATAAAGAAAACGTATATCAAAATTAAAAATTAAAAATAAATATTTTGCAAAAATATATAAAACATTTTTATTATAGTAATTACAAATATTTTAAGTTACTAGAGATATCATATGTTATTTAAATTACTTTTTGTAAGATTCTTAAAAACAATCCTCATATAAAGATCGTAAATGTTTAAAATTATTTTTAAAGGAATTATTTTTTAATATCAAGATTAACTTTTTGTGAACTTTCTTTTGTTATGAAATCCATTATATAAAATATATTTTGATGCTTATATGTTTATAAATCCTATTTTCATGGAATCTGTTTTCTTTTCTTTTA